TTAGGGGGTATATAACGGGTAAATACTACTTACTGACCGACATATTCGGCATAAAACTAGAATAACGAAAATCATTATAAGTAGTATATGGAAGCTGGGGATAGTATTGACTCGATTTTATGCATTTTTGCGATACCACATACTACTAAAATGCTACAGACTACTAATATGCTCCCACTGTTTTATTAAGGTACCTCACATACCATCACCAATATATATGGAGTAAAGTCAGCCGGATGTTCGAAAATCCTACACTGTTATTTGTAAAACCTGCTCTCTCCATTTCATTGGGATAACTCACATATTCGCTGATATATGAGGTATATAGCCACCCGGAAGTTCAAAAATCTTCATCAACCGTTAGGTGAAGGAAACTATTATACTCTTAGAGTATAAAAATGATGAAAGAAATATAGGGTTTCCGGTGTGATTCGATACACCAAAACATTCATTATTTCATTCAAGGATGAGTCTGGAAATATAAGGAACTGAACCAACCAAGAACCAATTCTGTGGAACAACCAGACTTCAAAACTAGCACCGGTAACAAGTGAACATGACTTACATTAAGTTTTAAACGGATTTTGTAAGGTTTCATCATGAGATGAGATATGAAAGTATGCTATGATCTATTCCGCATATCTTTCTTGCTGTGTTTTTATATGGTTCTACTGATCGGTTCTTCGGTGAACTCTCTGAACGTATCCTGAGATTTTCTTGAAATTTTGTATACAATGTTTCAAAAAAAATATATATAGATATTTATATTAAATAGTGGTTTCAGAATTAAACTTTTATCTAAACTAAAGTGCGTTCGTGGTTTTATCAAACGTTTTATGATTAACTTAGTATTTCTAAATCTTATCATTCCGATTCAAAACCTTGAATTGAGGATTCTGTTAAGCTCCAATTAATTTTCCTCAGCCGACTGATGTGCATATTTGGTATTCCAGCACCTACGATAAAAATATTCAAATGGACTTCTATTCAAAATATTTGAATGTTATTTTAGGAAACAATTCTCGCAATCAATCGGTTGTTATTTTTCCAGCTCGCTTTTTTGCCCTTTTCGTTAGTTTGTTTAAATTAATTATATTTTACCTATGTGTAAGTATGTAAATTATTTGTATTTTTAATTTCTTCAGCCAGTCGCATTCGAAATGTGCAACGAACTGAGTAATTTGTGTTAAGTTATTAAAGCAGAAAATTGCTGGCAATTCGATTGGATGTGTTTTCAATGGATCTATATGATTTTAGATTTGCATAACTATGCACGTTACTGTATATGATATAACATACATACTTATATACCAAACTTATTTTGAAACGAACTTTCTTTGTTTCCAAAAACCGTGAAAATATCCAAAACTATCGTAAATATTTTGTTTAAGGCATTTATTTGAAATTTCAAGCTTTTTGTCCATTTGTGGTGACGCTGATAGATATCCAAATTGATATTTTGCTTACTTGTGACGTGAAGATTTTATTGTTGTTGTTTGCTTTTTTGTTTTGCTTCCATTCGTTTGTCGCATCTACTTCGTAAAAGGGAGTCACTACTTTATATTTGAGCAGCGTGCGGCGGTGCGATGAGTCGGAAGAGGAGTGCTACCGCAATTGGAGCGGCAACGACTGTTGTGGCTTTGGCTTTTAATGGATAAGCCTTTGTAGCTCTAGCTTTGAATGGCGGTGTTGGCGACACTCCTGCTGTTATTTTTATTGCCGCTACTGCCGTCGTGCTTGCCAGCTAGTCGAGCTCATTATGTCATTGTACTCGCATCGCCACTCCACTCCAATTCACTTCACTCTATTTTCAGCAGACGCGCGCCGGGTTTGTGGCTATAAACGCGTCTAAAGCTAGTTTGTACGTGAGCAAGTGTGGATTTGGCATGTCTAAAACTCTTTCACATTTTATGTGAAGTTTTTTTTTATTTTCAATATCCTGAAAATAAAGGCGTCTGTCTAAGTAAGCTTTGGGAGATCTTCACTTACCCTTACTCCAAGAAAATACAGATGACAATGGTGGTGACAAAAGTAAAAAATATGTAAAACAAACAAAATCGTGAAATCACAACTAATGCAACAGTAGCAGGCATAGGGTATGTACATTCGCACCTCAAATAAATGTGACAATTAAGTGACACGAACACTAGTCGCCACTATACACACTGTTGCACATTGTACATATGTAAATACAATAACCGTCAATGAACCTCGCCAAAGCAACGCCACTCACATATATTATACATATGTTTATAGATAGGCCGCCAATAGCGCCTTGGTGCAGTGGCGCACAGACAAACTATTGAAGTTTGTACGAGTGAGTTGTTGACTTTGGTTCTCCCCACATTTGTCAGGCACCACTCCAATTATGATAGCAGCGTTGAAAAGCGCTACTCGCATACTGATTAGTGTTGCCACACACACACACACTCTTAAGGCTCAAAATAACCACCCAACGTGAGTCTTCTCTAATTTCTTATACCCTTCATGAGAGTTTTTGTTTTTAAGCGCACGAAATAATAGTATAGTAGGAAATTAAGATCTAGGCTTGTCTGACTTTATGTCCATCCGCTACAGATCCCCTGTGTTTCAGAGATATATAGCGAAAATTAATGCAATGGAGCACGCAAATATATTCGCCATTTACGGTTGCATTTAAATGTTTTTTCAACTGAAATAAACAAGTTTAAGAAGTTAGCGAATTTTTTCCCAACTCACGCATTGTGTAAGGCGGGACTGCCTTTAATGGATTTTCATTGTCTCTCGCCACACTTCTTACATCACGTCTGTCACTTTGCTTTATTTCATTATTATATAATAATTCTATGCACTGCAATGACTTTAACGATATTCTGTACAGTGGAAGTAAGGAAGCGAAAGCAGAACGTGAGGCAAGTGCGAAAGAACGACAGAATGGGGTTATGACAGTCTAATTAGCTGACAAGTACGCGTATAATTAGTACAAGAAACAGCCATATTTTTGTTCAATAAACCATTTAATTCTATTAACAGAATGGGGACAGATTTTTACAAGAATATTTCTCTGTAGACCTTAATGTATGGTAGAGTTTTCCTTATATTTGAGATAAATGACTGGCTATTATATCTCAAGTTCACACGTACTTTTAATCCATCTGTTTGTGGGAACTATCGACCGTTTTTGAATTTTGCTATATTCGCTTCTTGATAATGATTTTAATACTCAATTTTAAACTTTTATATTAATTTATATTTTTTTATATATTTTTATTATATATTTTTTTGAAATCGGGGCCCACTTTTGAAATATGTATATAGAATTACGAGCGCTGAATCAAAGGATAAAGGATAAGGAAGGAATTGGAAAGTATCGCGACTTCTTTGAAAGTATATTATTGTATGCATTATGTATTTGAACATGTATGTATATATGTGTAGGACATGCGATTTGTAAACGAGGGTACATTTCTGACGCATCGAGCTGAAAATGTTTGAGGAAAATTTCCAAATCACATTTCCAAATTTACTGAATTTTTTGACGAGTGTTTTTAAAAGCTGAGTGTAGCTTATGCGTTAAGGATTTCTAAAGTCGAAAAGTGTCTTCGGACAAATTTTCAATATAGCTTTTTCTATGCGATGACTAAGAAATTTTTTGCATATTTTCGGAACTCTGTTAAGTGGCCTTATAGCCTTTTCAAGGTATCGCTGCACTTTTTTCAATACATTTTTTACTTTAAAAATATATATCTGTCTATATAGTTAAAGGTTTGTTTTTGGAAAAAGTTCCCTTGTCGCATTACATACATAAATAGTTGCAATTAAATTATTGCTTTAGTTTTCGTTCTTCACTTCGGTAAAGAATTTATTTCCAGATTACGTGCTGAACAATGACGCTATTGTTATAGAATTAGTTAATTTGGTTACTCTTTTATCGCGCGCGATTTTATCTGTCTTCATTTGATTATCGCTCGCTCCCCTGACTTATTTTTATTACGTGTATTGTTGTGGCGTGCGACAAAAAAGAAACAGAAACAACAAAGTACGTAGTACATATGTACGTACATTTTTATTCAGACGCGCGTCTAGCTGTTGTTTGTGTCGCGTGCGATTCACACGCTTGTAATGAACGAACGCCGCCATTGGCGCTGTCCGCGAATTACAAATTCAATGCGTATTGCAATCGGACCACTTTGTGCGACTGCAGTCGTCCGCCGCAATGAATGACGCCACTGAATTCCAAATGCGAATGGCGAACAGAAATTATGAACGTAAATGGCATACGTAAACAGTGGAAGCAATCAACAAAAAAAAAAATAATAAAGGCTTATCAATGTGCAAAGGACGGTGGAATGCAGCCCACAGTTTAAAGTATTACCTTGATTCCGCCAACTGATAAGGCAAATCCTCACAAATTTGAGCAAGCAAATGCATTAAATCGCAGTTAATTGTTCATGGTGTGTTTGCTGTAAAATATTGTTGGACTGTTTGGTTGGCGTTAAGCAGTTAAGAGTTTGTGTGGAAATTATAATTTTTACACTTAACGTTTCAATGGTCAGTATTGATGCGTTTACCGTTTGGAAAGCTCCATTATAATATTAACTGAATCGATCCCTTGACGCTCTTCGCTGTGGTTTGGTCATTCGGCGAAAGGTTAATATTTAAATACTTATCTACAAAAATGTGTGCAACTTTTATGTCTCATTTACAGCGAAATCAATAAATGTACGCTCGCCGGCTTGCCACAGTATGCGGTTGCACAGTTGGCAAAACTTGACATGTGTGGCACGTACTTTTATTGACTCAAATTACCAACGCAATTTAAGTAGGAAAGTGGTTAGGGTAACTAATTAACTGCTAATACCTTTTCTGCTCTTATTTCACCAACAATAAAAACATGCGTTACTAGATTTTTGCTACCGTTACTTGGCCATGAAACCAAGAACTCGGGTGTTTCAAGTAACGCTCTGCAAAAATAATATTCTATAAAATTTTAAGTTTTCATACCTTCAGCAGTAACTTACCAAGAAGGAGTCTGAAAAATATGCAAAAGAGAATATTAGATTAGGGATTTAGTGTAGAAGATATGATTCATGCTAAAGGTATGTAAGGCAGCGTACTAAACTATAACATTTTAAGGCGATCGATAATTCCGCAAGAGCGCTGATACCGAGTTATTTAAAATTTGTATATACCAGCTTTTCATAATATAGTAACCCCCCTTTCCTAAAAGGTGCAGTTTTCTGTGGCAAACACCATCCAAACTTCACCCAAGTAATTTTGAAATACACTTTGCCTCCATGACGCTTCAATACCTGAGGCTTGGTAATTTACGAAGACCTCGACCACGCCAGCCTTTAAACACCATTCCTTCGTCTGTTTTTTCATTGCTAAAATTATTGCAAGTTTTCCTGATTCATCATAAAAAGTCTACTAATTGTATCCTTGCATATTTTTCCACAATAATTTCTTTTGTTGACGCTTTTGCTTACTGACCGCTTTTTACTGGAAGACTAAGTGACTTGTCGGAAAACTTTCTGTTATACCCACGATCTTGGTCTGAAAGACAGAATTAGGCAACCTATTGCAGTTGTACGGAAGGACAATGCTCTTCAGATGGTTCGGAGCTATTGTTGTTTTTGTGAACTTACCACTTGTTCGACTCTAACACAGGAGCTATACATAAGTATTTACACCCGAAATACGACACGCAAAACAAGCAAATACGATTCGACTCAGCTCCGATTGCAAACAATCATGTTTACGGTTACTCGCTGCTAGAACAACAAACAATAATATGTTCAGCAATAATTTGCAAGCTTTTATTGTGTTTGTCTTGCCTTTGCGCTTTTGCGTAAAATCACAACCGAAGGCGAATAATGCATCGTGCAATATTATATTTTAGTATAATAGAAAATTTTCCAATTTACGAGCCAAAGAAATTGCTGTTTACTTTTAGTAACAATGGAAATTTATCACTGCCGTTGCTGGAGGTTGTTGGCAACCAACATCTTCCAGCAAACCAGTCATGAAAATTTCATTCGTCAAAGCAAGCAAACTTTCGAGCAAGGCAACAATTGTTGGGGCACAAATAGGGGTTTAAGGGCATGTGCAGCCAGCAGGAAAATGATGAAGATAAACTACTTTGAGGATTTGGGAAATTTCGTTCAACTCTCTACGTACATTTGTTTGAAGTAATTGCAAGTATGTGTGTATTATTTATGTAGCCAAGTGTTGTTTTTCTTGTGGCACAATTTACTTTCTTGCGAATATAGTAATTTAGCAATAACAATAAAGGGTTCATCTATCTCATCTGTCACAAATATTTCCTAGCGTTTACCACTTTTGAGAGCTTTGGCTGCGTTTGCTTAAAATTTCCCTATTTTTATTTCTGGGACTGTTGTTTCTAGGACTCGAAAAAAGTTTGAGTTTGCCTGGTGTCTTTACTGATTCTGCTTTCAAAAACAAAATATATAAGCAAAGAAGGTCTATTGACTGCTCAAGCTGATCCTTCGTCGAATATATTATAGTACATTAAAAGTAATTAGATTGAGCTTCGTTTGTTTTTCCAACTCTCAATCACTCAACCAGTTTCCGAAGCGCTCGTCATGTCACATGACTTGAGTCAACTTAACTCCTCTAGAGTTCATTTCTGTGATGGGCTTGTATGGATATATGTACATACATACATATGTATGGAAGTGTTTGTGGAATAAGACACCATAGTTGCTAATGAGTCAATTATTAGTCAGTGGCCTGCATGTGGCATTTTAAAACTATGACTATCCATGTATTCTCCTATATATGTATGTATGTTATGTACAAGTGGGACTTATTCGAGTGCCATCAGGCTGTGGGGGCGTGACAGGATGTGAAATTGTGTTAAAATGTAATATGCGGAAAATTGCAATGACTTGACAATCGATTTATAACGGTGCAGTGATGCAGAAATGTCAGCAAACAAAAGATGGGAGTTGCTGTGTGACTGGGTTTCCGTACAATTAAAACAAGCAAGGTGATTCACACATACTTTTCTATGTGATGACTGAGACAGAATATTATTTCAACTTTGAACTGAGCAGTTATATGTTTTTAGAGGACAAGTCATTATACATAATTGGTTCTTTATGACTTGAAATCTTTACTGCAACTTTATATCCCTCACAAGTGCTTATTTTATAGCATAAAAGGGTATAAAAGAGCATTATCTTGATTTTGTTAGGCCAGTTTGTACGACAGTTACTTATATAGTGGCCCAATCTGAACAATTTGTTCAAAGTTTGTAGCGTTGCCTTTGGCAATAATCCATCCGATATCGGTCCGGCCTGCAGCTTCTGGGGAAGAAAAGAGCATGAGCAAAATTGTATATCGATAACTTAAAAATTCGCGTATATACAGACAGACCGACGGACATGACTAAATCGACTGAGCTCGTCACACTGATAATTTGTGTACATATATACTTCATAAGATCTCGTGTTCCTTTCTGGGTGTTACAAATTTTGTGGCAAACTTAATATACCCCGTGAAAGGTATAAAAAAAATAATTTCGATTCTGGTGGACTACACAACCTTATAAAGAAATGACTCGTCTATTTAGTTTTCAGTTCTGACCTTTCTTTTATTTTTAATAAACATTATTTTAATTATTATGCGGAACCATTGAAATAACCTAGATTTTATTCGAATTCATAACTCTGCATTTATTTAAACTACTGCTATTGCTGAATACACACAAATAGTACACACAATTCTGACAAATATTTCATATTTCTACGATTTCTAATAAAATACTTGAGAAAAGGCTTAAAATGTGTGCGAAGCGTAGAGGAAAGTGTGCAAAGGAATCAAAGCAAAGCCAACCTTTATGCTCAGTATTTCATGGACAATGGGTATTAGAGTATTAGTGATGGCTTAAAATCTGTGTGCGCATATTTGCCATATTACGGTATTTGTCGTTTTGTAAGTACAGCAATAAGTACCTAATAAGTAGGTATGCTCGTAAGTAAGGTGGCATATTCGGCAAGTTCGTGTGAGCTGTTTGTTAATACCCGTGGGTAGAGGTCATTGTACGCGCTAGAAAATAAAAATATTTACGGTAGAAGCACCCATAAGTCCCTCAAAAGATTTTATGGTGTTGTGGGCCAATACTTGTGTCGGTATGCGTTTACAATTTCACTTTTTTCACAATTATAGTAATCGCTCAATATTAGAAATGCCGTTCAATTGATGTTGAATTTACAACTGTTTACATACATAAGTTAGTCTCAAATGTACATGCATATGTCTGTAGAATAATTATTATCGCTAGTAATTTAATATTTGATGACAAATCGGACTTTAATTTTGAAAGTTAAGGAAATATATTTACATTCTTCTTCTTAGTGATAGTCTAAAGTTGCTTCGAAAATAGTAAATTATTCGCTCTTCATGATACAGGAAGCTGACTAAAATCTGAAACAGCAAATGCAATCAAATATGCTGAAACTTGAGATTTAAAAATGGTGAGATACAATTTCACTATTTATGGGAACTAATCCAAAAATATTTTCAAAAAAAAAAATTTTAATTAAAACTGCTACTTTTTTGCTAATGCCAATATATTTACATATACTAGCTTCAAGTAATGATTTCAATAGTTTTGATTACAAAAATACGGAATTTCGAAAATATGTTACAATTATATTTCAAGGATGTAGTGATTATTGTACATATTTTTCTTAAGTGTTTTTATAAAATCGTATTATTTTAAACAGTAAATCATACACTGTTTTGCTCGCCATAACCCTTAATAACAACAGATTTTGAAAATAATTTTCTCTGCGCTCGCTTTCGTGATAACACATAACGATCGTATATTTTTCTCCTCGCCAATTGTTCTTTTGAAATTTATTTCTTCACTGTTAGCTCGCTGAGACGATGGGTGTGTGTGTGTGTGTGTACGTGTTCATCTGGTGAGCAATGGACAGCGAATCGCCATTTGCAATGTTGCATTCGCGCATGCAGAAGTCATTTATCAATTTATGGCGCAACGCCTGACACACTTTAGAGAGCTTATAAATAAATATAGCGAACAATTCGTATCTCGCATGTACCAGATCTGTGTGCGTGCGGAAGGAGTGTGCTTGGAATCTAATCAGCCAGCTGCACTCGTATTGATACTTAGAAAATATATTTACTAACAAAGCTTGTAGATCGCTAAATATGCAAAGGCAGTGATTAATTATGTTGTCGGCTGTGGATGGAGCGCTGCCACGCGCAGACTGTAGGGTTTTCATGGAAACGCAAAAGCAGTTTGTCAAGATTTTTCACGAAATTTGAAAAGTAGGTCAGCCCAAAATTGATTAGCGACCGAGAAAATATTAGGGCATACGGAATCAATGATACATTATTTGACACATGGGGTGTTTAGTATTTCATACTTCAGATTATTAAATCATTTTGTGGTTACGAGTTAAAAATAAGAATAGCTGGAAAATTAATAATGCTCGTACAAATACACATACATAAATATTAAATATACTGCAAAGAAACATTTTCTCACATCAGCAAACAAAGCACTTTGTGCGTTCTGAACCATGCGCTTTAAAAACTTTTATGCCTTACAACAAAAAAGAAGAGAAATACGAAAGAAAACTTCCAGGCACATGAAAACTTGACCGAATTCAACAGCAGATTTTGGCTTCTGCGAGCTTTCTACAGTGCACTACAAAACCACTAAGAGGCGCCACACAGCAACAGCTACGAAATTACGGAATTTTGTTTACATTCTCGAAGAGCACTTGGGGCCGCGCCATCACGCAGAAGATATTTGGAAATTATGGAGAAAACAAAGTACAGTGTGGCAAATAAAAAAGTCGTAAAATTTAAAAAACACATTTTTTAGAATCTAACTAATTGAAAGGGTTAGTAAATGCCCAAAAAGAGAGCGAAATTCTACAAAATCGAATTTTTTAAGTGTTTCACTTTCTTTAAAAATAATAACAGCATCTTTTCAGAAGTCAATTTAGGCCGCAACGAAATTATATTACTCACTGAGCTCATTAATTACGATATTTCTTTATTACATGGGACATTCAGTCAAAGCTTGGGATTTAATTTACTTATTTTTGACCACGCCGACATGATTATCACGGAATTTCGATAAGTCTTACACTAGTTTGTTTGAGAAAGTAAAATTGGAAACTATGTGAAAACAGCCATGAAAATAGCTCTCGGCACAAATCTCTTTCACTCTTCTTATTTCCCGTAAGTATGTGTGTACATATGTATGTATGTACAATATATAGAAGCTATCCATAAGCTTGATTTACTCGTATTTTATATATTATATATGTGCAATTGTAACTTTGTTTGGAAACTGTTTGTCATTGCCCCACTTCAGCTGTCGCCGGTTAGACCCGCAACTAAAGTGACGCGTTCGCTACTTTCCGCGTCTTACGAGTGTCGCTGTACCCAGCCGCTGGGCTCTAAAACTGCCTGCTCTGCCAAGCAACTGTCTGTCTTCATTTTGTTATTTTGAAGAAATTATTTTCACACCGCAATGCAGCTAGTCCGCAGAAGCTTTTGTGCATGCATATGTATATGCTATATAAGAAAGTGAAGAAAACGCTCAACAAGAAAGTTGGTAGTGCAGATTGTACAGAACAAAGTAGATAAACTTGATAGAGGGGCAAAAAAAATGGCAAAAAAAAAAAAAATGGAGCATAGCAAACGCAGCGTGGTGCGAGTGAGTGAGCGAAGTGAAGTGTCAGCCACAAACAAGAATATGAGAGATGGCGCTCGCGCGTTGCAAGATTATATCATAAACCGAGTGTAATGCCTTATGCGGCCATTGACCATGAACATAGCAGGCCGTCCGTACAGGCGAATGAAAGTGCCTCTAGAAATGAATATGCTTAGGTATAGAAAGGTTTAGTGGTGCCACCACTTACAAGTGCCCAAAGGATGTATAGCTTTGTTCACGTAGCGGTTATTCGTAGCATCATGTTTTGTCATCAAAATGGGAAAGAAATGTACATATGTACATATATACATAATTATGAGATTACTGATTATCATTCACAGCCATACGTAGTTCTCACTGTGCGAAATTACAACTCTTTAAATGTGAGCTTTTAAAGCGCCTTTAACCCCTACCACCTTGCGTTTAAAGGTATTTTTGAAAATCGCAAATAGTTGATAATCTTTTGCTGATTTTTTTGAGAAGAAGGTTACACCCGAGAAGAAATAGAGGTGCCTCAGAAAATAATCATTCCGCTGCCGTTCAAACTTGCGGTACCTTACTTATTTTTATATAAATAAAACCCTTCCTTCCATCACTAAAGAACGAAATTATCAGTCGATGAACCTGCTAGTTAGTTAAAAAGAATGTCGGCAACAGTAGTTGCTCTCGTAGAGAATGCGGGAAGCAACTCGTTCATAAATAGTAGGCTAGAGCCGGCGATTTGCTGTGGCGGGCTATCTACGTACAACGGAAAACACTATAAGCATAAAATACTATAAGTACACTAAGAGTCATATTACAGCTAAAGCATAGGCAAAGAATGAGATAAGAAAAGAATAATTGAAGGAAAAGTATGAATGTATGTATGCTTATGAAAAGCGCTTATTAAAAGTAAAACATTTTTACCGTTTGCGCTGTGTTGAAAGTGCGATAAAGTCAAATTGCGATAGCCAGACTGACGCCGACAACAGCCAGCTGGCGCTTTGTCGATTGTTTACGCTTTTTCGAATGAAACATTTATGAAAGAATCATAAAAATCGACCGAAATTAAAGAAGTTCGTGGCGCACATGTACAGGCTTACTTGACTGTGTGTGTGTGTGTGTGCGGCAGCTGTATGTTTTAAATATTTATTTTTCAACTGTTTACTTTATTAGGTACATACATATATGTGCAGAAGTATGTATGTATTGTATATTGTGTTCAAAACTTTTCGTAACTTTGCGTAAAAAACATACAAAAACTTGAACTTTTGCAATTAGAGTTTGAATGAAATCGCTGTACTTAAATACTGCTGCTATGCTAGGCCAACAAAGAAAAATCAACAGATGTGCTTTGTGAAGTCATCACAACAATTGTATACCATCTGATCAAAAATAACTCGGACTGACAAAAGAATTTCATTTCACGTACTTATTTCAGTACACATTTTTAAGTCTTTTGCTTTTTTCGGTTTTGGCATATTTTCGGAGAGCCTTTCGTTAGATTGTTGGACAGATTCGTTGTCATATTCATAAACCCACAACTCGTCACCAGTAATGATGCGTTTGATGTATGTACATATGTAGGGCTTGGACTTCGTTATCAGCATTTGTTTTGCGACCTTTTTTCGACATTGTTTTTCAAGAAAGATTCAGGTCTTTTGGTTCGAGTCTAGCATTGACACAGTTTATACCCAAAACATTAAACAAATCTCAATATTAAAGTTCATTAAAATACCACGTTATTTGATCTAGCAAAAATTTGGTTTGCGTCGCAGTTTAAATGAATCAATCCGGGTCAAATTTGATCAGATGGTACATATGCTTATTGCAAGCTCAATAAAAACTCGTGCACGCAAATATCGAACTTTGAGCTTTCGAAATTTCGAGGAAAGTGATTATGTAATAATTAGAAATTTATAACAAATGTAACACTTTCTATCACGAATAGCCAAAGAATAGAGAAACGAGCGAACAACTAGCATAAAGAGGGTAAAACGGTAACACTGAAAAAGAAAAGACATGAACTTATTTACGAGCAGCTTCTTTATGAGAAAAGGTTTATGCTAACTTTTAGATGGATATCTCAAAAACTGAGAGACTAGTTCTTAAACAGACAGACGGATCATGTATGTATATATTTTATAGGGTTTCCGACGTTTCCTTCTGGGTGTTACAAACTTCGTGGCAAACTTAATATTCCTTGTTCAGGGTATAAAAAAGTGATTTCTTGAACCGTCACCACTTCCACCCTTAAAATACGTGAGGTTCAAACCAGTCGCCCTAAGGGAATTATTATAAAAAAACTTTCTTTAAAATCCCTATTTTTAGTAGTTGTGGATGCAGTCAGGAAGTCTAGAAAAGACTACATGTACTAAGTGTACAAGTTTATAACATAGCCAAATTCAAAACAACTTACGATCTAATGAGCATGAGAAGCTTCAATTAACAATCAGTTTTTTTCCATGAAAAGTTTAGGAGCCTAAACAACAAACGTAAAGCAATGAAAATATTTTAATGATTTGTGCGTGGGATTGATAATGCATTGGAATGACAAAATTTAGGAGAATTTCCATCAAAGAGTGTTTTTAACATGAAATAAGTCGAATAATTGGCTAATTTACAAAAACAAAAACAGTTTATAAATCAGATGTAAATATTATTCAATTCTGGCGAACAAAATAATTGTGCACTAAATCAGCCGTTCAACAGTTTAAACTCAATTCCCTAATTCAGAAATGTTGAAGAACGCCCCATGTATGTACACCCCCGCTGAGTGAATGAGCCCATTAATCAATCATTGAGCTTCCAACAAAAGCACTGTTATTAATCAATTCGATCGAATATTAGCTCATAAGTGACATGAAAACGGACAAAACCAGGCGAACAATCGTCGAAAATGTTCATTGATATGTTCACATGTATGTGTGTGTGTGTGTGTAAGAGTATTTATGCCATAAACATGTGTGCAATCTGCTCGTGTGCGTTTTTAATTAAAATTGAGTTCCAAGTTCAGCACAAAGCCGCGCGATATTAATGAGAATTGAATGCGCAGCGCATGCAATGGAGAAAACTGGTCGAGAGGAATTCTAGAACCAGGCAATAACAACGACATACTAGATACTAATAAATATTGCGGAAGGAAAAAATAATATGGCAAAGTAATGCAATCGCCACGTCGTTAGACCACAGCAAGCCAAAGTCAAAGCCATGGCAAATACTACGGCAAAAGCAGCAACAATGTGCCATAATCACATACACATACACTTGCAGGGCAGGTCTTTGTATGTGTGTGTGTCATTGTCAACCACACCATTGAACCGCCGACAAAACTACAACGTGCACCAAGCTTGAGGGTTTGTAGCAACTGTTGCATGCACATATTTCTGCAAACTGTACGCCAGTGGCGACTGAATTACTTAGTCTTTTATATTTTGCGACGCAATTGCCACAATTAACAAGTATAAATTGAAATTGCAATTCAACGCCGCATGTGGCAAAATGCGAGGAGCGGTAATTGCGAATGCAACAACAACAATAACAAGAGCTTGGAAACTATTATGAGCCATAAAGATGAGTTCGCAGGAGGCGACACATATCACAAAGACACATTGCATATTAGAGTCACAATCGCGACACAATGAGAGGGGAAAGCAATGTAAGTACATGTGTAATAAGACAATTTTTAGTTTTGTGAACAGCATTTTTTAGCATTACCCATGCATTTCAGGGGCAAGCCTAGACGCATGTACCCATGTATGTGTATTTCTTTTATTTATCAACTATTTATTCCAGTACCATTAACATTGGTTGCTGTGAAATCTAAGCTAAGCCACTCATCTAGAAGTTAGCTTACGAAATCGTTCGAAATGCGAAAGAAAAAACCCTGAGATCATTTGCGAGTACACGTTTGACTTGTGGTTGGTAAAACGAAGCAATTTTTCAAGTACTAAATTCTAGATCTGTTTTTTTAATTAGACTTTGGAAATGTTTAAAACAAATTATTATAACACTGATCACTGCCAAACGACGATTTTAATCGATAAGTTTGTATGGCAGCTATATGTTGTAAGGCTGCAATTTCGGTCAATTCTAACAAATGCGCAGCTTCTTCGGAAGGAAAAGGCGTGTAAATATATTCAGATCGATATCAAAAACTGAAGGGCTGTTCTTGTATTCGAAGTTTCTCCGGTAATTAATTAAACTGGGTGCTTCTTTTCACCAAAGTATCAAAAAGTGGCAAAATACATGTTAAGCTACGCGATTGAAGCAGTGAATCAAACCTACTTTTAAGGACCAGGAATCATACCCTTCAGCAATATCTGATTTTTGTGAGTACAACCATTAATATATTTGATATTTTAATTACTATTCACTGAAGATGGAGTTCCATCTATCGGCTGTGGCAATGCTTGTCTACAGTGGGCTTTCCTCACACCCATGCATATGCATAAATATATTTATATACGAGGTCTGTTCAAAAAATGAGGTGAGTTTTCAAATTTCGCGCGCTACCTATTTTCGAATATCGATTTTTTTTTGTTATGTTGGTACACTCGTTTCGAACAAATGTTCACAGTTTCAGCTATAGCATATATAGTTTGTTTGTGAGAGGCATTAAAGTTAGACGTGTTTTGCCGCTTCGGCGATTTCCTGCAGTTGAAAATGGATCAAAGAAGTTGTATTCAATTTTGTGTGAAACATGGAATTAATTGCCAAAAACACTTGAAATGTTGACAGTGGCATATGGTAAGTGTACTCTGAGTCAAAAAAATGTTTTCAAGTGGTACAAGCTTTTCAAAGAAGGTCGAGAAGATGTGAAAGACGACGCTCGCCTTGGACGCCACAGAACATCAACAACCGATAAAAATGTTGAGAAAGTGAAGAAAATTGTTATGGAGCATCGTCGAATCACTGAGAGAGAAGTTGCTAAAAAAGTTGGCATATCGGTTAGCTCATGCCATGCAATTTTTTCGGGAATTTTGAGCATGAAGCCGGTGGCAGCAAAGTTCGTTCCAAAATTGCTGCGGTTTTACCAAAAAACCATCGCATGAGCATCGCTAAGGAATCCAAAATTTACTTAAAAGGGTTATAACTGGTGGCGAATCATGGGTATATAGTTATGACATCGAAACCAAAGTCCAATTGTCCCAATGAAAGAGCCCAGGAGAGAACGCTGAGAGAACTCAAGGGCATATCAGAGCTACTTCGAGGATTGCACATCTGCTGGCACAAGTGTATTTTATCTGAGGGGACTACTTTGAAGGAAACAAACTAGAAATTAATGAATAAATAAATATTTTTTGAGAAAAATGGAAATTCACCTTATATTTTGAACAAACCTCGTATGTAAGTAAATATAATTGTGTAAAATTGATTACCATACACGTCGTGTACTTAAAAAGTTATATAGCTTGGTGGGATTGTTGGCTTTTGAGAAGAAAAATCGAATAAAAATGCTGTCGAGGTAATCAACAGCAGAAATGAGCGCATTGTGACGATAAAACACAGGAAATCACATAGCAAAACTGGCAACCAAAAATAGTCGTGGCCACACACGCAATACTGTGGAGCGACATATTTTCTGTTTGCTGCGCAGAGCAACGCCAAAGGAAAGCAAAAGAGGAATAGCAAAGAAACCCCATTGATTTGCTGTATGCTTTGTGGCACGTAGTTTTTTCTTCTAGTTTTATAGTAAATTAAAATGCATTATTTTCTAATAAATAACCGCACGAAGTGTTGAAGGCGTAGGCATGTTGCAGTTGGGTGATATACGGAATGTACTGGAGATTACGGAGCGCTTTTGTATTTGGCCATATTTCTCGTGTTGTCGAGAAGTCACTTGCTGTCGACGCTCTCACCATTGTAATTTCTTTACTGCAATGTCTTCATGCGGAAATAAAGTTCCCTTTTGCACATTCGTTTGCTTCGTTTCTTTATTGGATCAGTGCTTTCTTTGTTTACCTCTACCTTTCACTTTGGTAATTTCTGATTCCTTTGCTTCTTTGCGCGTTTGCTTTGACAATCAGCTAATCAATAAACCGCAAAACCACATTTATACGCTCATCTAAGCACATACATATGAACATCCATGTATGTTTCGGTGTGTTCCTGTTTGTTTTGCCGGTCAACTTCAACGAGTTGATGCCTTTGGCGGTTACAAGTGTTGGCTGCCATACTTTGATTACGATTCCGGTTTTCGATTGGCAGCGGCGACGCCACTGATTGCGAGCGGCAGCTGATAATGTGTACAAGAAAAGAGGCGCGAAACGGAACGAATGTGAGTGGATGCCGAGGAGTATAAGAGGTGAAATCAATTCCTTAAATTCACCTTCTGCAAATACTTATATATTTAGAGCACCTATTATAGTCACTAAGCTGGGCCAGGGGGAAGGTCTGGCTTGATTGTGTTAATTTTTGGCACCTGGGTATTGACCCTATTCAACCAAATTCTGACACACGATACTCTCTGAATTTTAATAATATGCATATATAACAGATTGAAAGAGATATTCGGCATAAAGTCATACATAGGCTCTGAGGATCACATACTCGGTATTTGGGGGCTTGAAAAGTTATGGTCCGATATCGGCCTTATTTGTTTATAAGGCAGCATAAATTGAAGACACTATTTTTGCAAGTTTTATTCCGATGTCTTTCTTGGTGTTTGATTTATGTGCAAAGTGAAAGAATCTTACGGAATTAAAAATTTTTATATATAGGAAGTAGGCGTGGTTGAAGTCCGATCTCGCCCGTTTTCAGGTATAGGAAGTTGCTTGAATTAGCTGACCATTCGTCTCGGTTTGGCCAGGACAGTCCGGATTCTGCGTTAAGCGTTTCAGCCGTCCCGGGCTTGGAAATTAACTTGATTAAAAAAAAAAGAATAAATGGAATAAAATTGTGTTGCTCTCTCACCTATTATATGTCGCGATTTTCAGTGAATTATATCTATGACTAAAAAAAAACCGTACCGGGTTTTGGCGGGACAAATATGGTCACCTAATGTTAGAAAGACTTGTCCGCCGCCAGTTGGTTTGACAAGCTTTAGTCGTTTGTAAGATATACGATTTATATGTAGGTACAACATTTTGTTTGTCAGTGGCTGACATTAATAAATTACTTACTATTTGATTACTCAAAAACTCAAAAACAAAAAAAAAACATAATTCATATATTTCTCAACTCTATGCCATTTCAAGATCGGACAACATCTTTCCCGGGTAAAAAAGTTATATTTGTAGCAGGCGTTTGCGCAAACACGACTAACCAAGTTTTATTGTGATTTTACACAGTGTGCAAATTTTCGTTGTAAGCAAATGGTGTGAAAAGCAACCAAAACGCAGCGAAATGCGGCAAGAGCTTTGCTCGGGCGAATAAAGTGAAATGTTGCGATGCGATGTGAACTGAGTCGGGGAGTTTGAGGCGGGGGCTGGGCCCGTTGGCGAAATGTGAAATGAAACATTCATAACTCAAATGGCAGCTGCAACAGTCTACCATAACACATATCCATACAAACGCTGTGGAGTGTGGCATTTATTTGAATGAAATAACATAAGTATGTGAACTCGTATTTGTGCGAATGTGTGTGTTCATATATATGTAAATATGTGTATGTGCGTATGTGCTTACTCATAGGAAAACACTCAGCAGATTTGTTGTGATTTTCTGTTATTGCTACTTCTCTACTTTTTTGTTAGGCTTGGCCGATTTGAATGCGAATATATGCGGTCAGTGGCTTCTTGACTTTTTCAATGGAAATTTTAAGTTCCCCGCAGACGCAGACTGATCGTTATTTTTAGGCGGAGTGCGCAGCATTGCAATTTCAACGACTTAAGTATTTATTTATATTTGCCCATATACTACGCAAAAGCCAGCTGTATGTGTGTGCGTGCGTGAATTTGTGCAATCGTAATTTCGAAATGCGGTAGGAAACGTGAAAATGGATTTCTCTACATAACATACATACATACTTGTACATACGTACGAATTTATAAGCAACTGTGGCGAGTTACTGCGAAAGTAGGCGGCATTTGTGTCTAGCATTTTGCCCGATTGGCTTGGAGCTAAAGTGGTGGGTGAGTGTGTGCCTTCGCGTATAAAGTTTGTTTACCTTTTTTAACAAATGTCTAATGTGACGGTCGTTTTGCCGGCTGTCACTGTCGTTTATGTAAATTGTACATGTCTATTGCATGCGGCCCGGACGGTTGCGCGCTGTGCAGTCTACATCTATAACATTTGGAGTATTCGTTGCACCGGTATGGCTGTTCGGTAAGTTTTATTAGCGAAGAAAATTGCAACCTTAGGCGATTCTGTACAACTGTGCGCCTAGGAAATTGCAAACGAATAAATATAATTTTAATTAGCACGATAGTTTTGGATTTTAAATAAAGTTATGAAAATAGTAATACTATTAGATTTTAAACCGGTTATGCGATAATTATAGAGCGCTACGACTCCAATAGTTGACTTTAAACAAAATAAAAAATTTTAATATGTGGCTAACCACAGACAAAACAAAGTGACACCCTTACTTGATTCTATTGACATTTGTCGGTTAAACCGCTTAAATTTTGCGAGCTTCTCTTTCTTATACCTTTCTACTCTTTACGCATTTTACATTCATGTTCTCGAAAGGCATTAAATAACCAACAAAGTAGTGCTTCATGAACAATTAAAATGCTCGTTTCAATTTAATTTTTTTGTTGGTTGATTTTTGCAAGCTTAAATTACCAATGAAAGCTAGCTTAAGTGCTCCCAACGGTCGTTTGCCACAGCTGCGGCTGAGTAGCAGAGTTTCTTAAGTTGTATTCAACTTTATTGGATGATTAAAGGCCATTTCGGTCAGTGAGTGGCTTACGTCATACCCATGTGTATTTACTCTGTACTTGTTGTACATACAGATATATGTATAGAAACATACATATATTTGTATATAGAAATTAAAGAATGTAGTAACACAAGCTGTCAGCTGTTACTAGGTCTTAACACCATACATTTTTGCTATTACAATTTATTCAGCAGTCCTTGAAGTCTCACACACGCTCACACACGATGGTACAAATAATTCCAAATATGTAACTATTCCTGACATTCTTATACTGCCACTTCTGTCCATCTCTTTGAATGATTACGAATGTCCTTCGTCCATTTTGCGTTGCACCCGGCTTTGGTATGCTTCGAATGTCTAGTAGCATTTTTGTTTGTGTTATTATTTAATAATACGTTTTCTTTTTTCAGTAACTTGTCACATGTTGTCAATAAGGAGCATTGGAAAATGACAAAATAATATTTTTAAATATAAAGGCAGTGACTTTTATAATATTTTTAATAC